TTACCTTAAAAAAAGGGTAAAACCGAAGTAGTAGTAACAAACAAAAGTAAATTAAACTTAGTATTACTACTAACTATAGTAGTTATTAGTGTATATATATATATATATATATATATATATATATAAAGGAAAACATTTGGGTAATGATCTTCAAATTGTAAGTAGGAAGTTTTTTTTCAAGTTTATTAAAGTTGCATGAAATGGTAAAATGGGTATTAGGTCCTTAAAAGAGATGCTGAAGGTTTTTGTTGTTATGGGCAAAGATAGAGCATTTGGTACTTCAAGGTTGTCCTTGCACACCCACCTATAAAGAAAAAAAAAGAAAGAAAAGTAAAACTTAAAACTCATCCTTTGTTTTTTTAAAAAAGTCATTGACTCTCCTATTAAATTCTTATAAAGTGCTGGCCTCCTGTTGCTGCCAACAGCTAGCAATTCATACCATTAGTCAATCATTCTTTTAGAAAAATAGAACTGTCTGTTGATGCATTTCACTCATTACAGAGCTCCGCAGGCCATCTGGGACACAAAATAGTAGTGGTTGGAATACGATTTAAATAGGTCATTTGTTACAACAACAATTATTAAGGTGTAAAAACATTTCTAAGCTGAAGGATCATGATTATAGTTAATTAATCTTCTTCTGCTCAATACATAACTCATTAGGTTGGCTGGAGCACAACAAACACAGTAGTAATAGGCAATGGAGAAGGCGGACAAAGTGTGGTTGAAATACTATTATACACTTTTCTTACGATGTGGTATCTTACTTCTCCTCACAAGCATAGCTATTCTTGTACAGTGCTGCCTTCTATAGGCAAAAATATATTCACAAGCCTAGAGCTCCCATGTACCCCACAATCAATGTGGTTGAACTGTGTCTTGCATGTAAATCATCATGTGACAACCCTCAACCAATAGGAGTGTGACACACCCTCCTGATGCATGTGATTCCCTTTATTTGATTCTACTGAACCATCACTTCTCATTTGGCAGTCCTCATGTCAAGACGTTTTTCATTATGCTCTTCAGTTATGTTTTGTTTTTGAAACTCAGTAAATTTTTGAAATTTTTTATTGAAATGTTGTTGTACTTTATTCCGAAGTAGAATTGTTATTCTCATTTTTGCACAAGTTCCCAAACATAAGGATAACTTTTTTCCCCCAGTTTTTCATTTCATTCTTCTAACACTGTTGTGTTTGGTCATTCATCTTTAATAATGAAATCCAAAGTCCAGAGTACCACTTTAGAGATCGATGTGAGATTGATCATTATATGAGTCAACCTTCTCTTGAACATGCTGAATCTGTTTGGGACAATGAGGAATTTGACAACCTCTTTCCTGGTTTTGCCATGTCTTCCTATACCCCTGCTGTGAAATCAGCTAGTCTTAATATGGCTTTTTTGAATATGATTTCTCAGGTGTGTTCTGTTTGATCCATTTCTTTAATTTATTATCATCCTCTTCCTTACTTATTACATGATATCCCTCTTCTCAGTATTTTGTGTTTCCCCCCTTCCCCGGATTTTAGGGTTCATGCAGAGTGTTTTGTATCTTGGATGCATGAGAGCGCTGGTATGCCTCGCCCTCCACTGGCTTCGGATAAGTTTGCTTTAGCCTACAATCAGGCTGAATTTCAGTTTCTTGATTCTCAACAGTTGGAATCGATTTTGTTGGGGTGGACTCTGATAATCATATTCAGTTATCCCATGCCCAGTTTTCTTTTCTTTGTCTTACCCTATCGACTCTCCTGTGGTACTTGTCCACTATCCACCACCTTTCCAAGGCACTTCATTGAGATCCAGAGGGTTTTTTGGAGGATACTCTCTCTCTGATTATTTCCATGTTGGCACATTTGTCTTCTTCAGCTTTTTCCTTATACACGTGGTTTAACTGTTGTTGAGATCTTCTGGGGGAGAGATGCTGTATTGCCCCAAGTTCGTTTACTACCTACTACCATTTTCTCCAATTGTCTGTTTTCAGAGATATTACTGAGGCTTTAGAATCACGTGTGGATTCAGTAAGACAACACTCAACACTTTCATCTTTGATTGATTGTTTGTCTCATTCAGAGCTTAGACAATCCCCTATTACTGGTTCCCGTCCCACTCCTTCCCAGCCCTTCCCCGTTCCTACCTCTAGGGGTTCCTACACTTGTATTATTGAAAACAGATGGCCGTGTTTCCAACAGTACTGGTGACTACCTCGTGTGTTCCAGTCCAGTTAGGGCTCTCTTGACCAATTGTTCTTCTTTGATGAGATTTTGCCACAAATTTTGGATAATTTGGGTATTATCTGAGGGACTTGTCATTCACTTCCTTTCCCCCTCTATTATCTTGGGTACCCATATCCTTTCCATTTCCTTGGGTTTCTACCACCAGTCAATGTCTGTTTGAGGTGGTACAGAATCTTCTCATCCAGAAAGCCATTGAACCTGTACCTCATCCTTCTCCAGGTTTCTATTCCAGGCTGTTTGTGGTACCCAAGAAAACTGGGGACTGGTGGCCTGTGATCGATCTATCCCACCTTAAACAATTTTTGGTTCTACCTCACTTTACCATGGAGTATTTTCTCACCCTCAGTTGAGCTTTTTCCCAGGTCTATAGATGACCAAGGTAGATGTCTCAAACGCTTATCTGCATATTCTTATATGTTGTCAGTTGAAGCGCTATATTTGGTATGTTTATCATGGGGTAGTGTATCAATTTCGTGCCCCTGCTCTTTGGGTTTGTTTCAGCCCTATATGTCTTCTGTTGAGTGGTCAAGGTTTTTGCCCAAAATATGCATGCTCGGGAGTTGCACTTACACCATTACGTGGGCGACTGGCGGCTCATTCTGAACGAGAGTTTGCCAATCACACTTGTCTGCTGCTTTTGTAGGCAGCTTGGGTGGGTTGGTTAATCAAGTTGGAGAAGCCCTTCCTTATACTTACCAAATATCTCGTCCACTTGAATGTCTTTTCCAACACTCATTTCAGTCAGGCCCAACCTTCTTTTCCTTGACTCCATTTGATAGAGATTTCAGTTATCCATACCCTTACTGCTCACTCTGTTGCTGCTTACAAGGTGTTATCACTTTTGGGGATGTGGTTTTATATGGAAACCCTTATCCCCTTGGGTTGAGTGCATATGGGGTCTCTTCATTGGACTTTGCACGACAAATGTAACCTTGTACAGGATCCCTTGGATGCTCCTATTTCCCTTCCTCCTTCTCTTCTGGCTGTACATCGTACTTTGGATAATTTTTTTATTTTGTCAGGAATCGTCTGGTCATGATCCAATCTGACAATTCGAAGGTGGTAGCTTATATCAATTACCAAGGCAGAACCAGTTCTTGTTCCCTTTGTGGTCACACCTTGGATCTCCCTTTTTGGGCCCACATGCTTCGTATTCATCTTCTTGTGTGTTTTGTTCCATGTGCATTCAACCTTGTTGTGGATCATCTTTCCTGACCAGACAAAATGTATCTGAGAGTGATCACTCGATTCTCATGTTTTCCAGTGGCTATGCCTTCAGTGGGATACTTTTCATCTGGATGCATTTGCCACTTCACTCAATACCAAGTTACTGCTGTCAATGCATTCAAACAGGATTGGATCAACAAATACCTTTATGTGTATCCTCCAATCTGTCTCCTTCCATGGGTGATTTCAATCATCTAAACTATTCTGTTTCAAGTCTTTCTAATTGCTCCTTACTGGCTGGCACAACCATCATTTCTGCAGCTTCTCCAGCTGTAATCTGCCCCACCATTACCTCTTCCTCTTACTCCATCCCTTCTATGTCAACCTTTGTCACCGACATTTCATCCAGTCCTTTGTACCCCCGTCTTCATGCCTGATTTTTGGAATATCTAGATTGTCCCAGTGAGTCATTTTGTTTTTAGCACATTCCGTTTCCTCTTCCTCTATAGATGTTTAATAACATAAGTGGAATGTTTTCTGCCATTGGTCTTTGGTTGGTGTGTTTTGTTACACCTGCTCGACCCACCGTTCCTCCTCTTATGGATTTACTCACTTGGCTGTTTGATGAGGAGACTTCGGTCTTCTCAATCACGGGTTATGGGGCTGCCTTATCTCAGTACTATAAAGTTTTTATCTCTCCTACCATC